TAATATTCATCCCATGCAGACAAGGGCAAAATCGGGAATTTTCAAACCCAAACAAATTTTTAATTTAAACACTGTTGTTTTATCAGCTGATCCTACATGTTTTTCTGAGGTTAATAAACATTTAATTTGGTGAGCGGCAATGGCTGAGGAATTTAATGCTCGTATTTCCAATAATACGTGGGATTTAGTGCCTTTTGATCACACTAAAAATGTTGTGGGCTCTAAGTGGATTTATAAGACAAAATATATATCAGATGGTTCTATTGAGCGCCACAAAGCGCGTCTGGTTGCTCAAGGTTTTAATCAACAGGCAGGTGTGGACTTTTCTGAAACTTTTAGTCCAATTATTAAACCCACCACTGTTCGTATAGTCCTTACACTAGCTGTCTCTTTTGGGTGGGTGATTCGTCAATTGCATGTCAAGAATGCCTTTTTTCATGGTCATCTCACCGAGGAAGTTTATATGCGTCAGCCACGTGGATTTATTCATCCTTTGTTTCCTCATCATTTGTGCAAATTGCGCAAAGCCATTTATGGTCTTAAGCAAGCTCCACGTACATGGTTTCATCGTATTAGTAGCTTCTTATTGTCTCATAATTTTACGTGCAGCAAGTCTGATAATTCTTTATTCATTTACCGCCAGAATAATAATGTCATTTATTTATTATTATATGTTGATGACATAATTATTATTGGAAATTCTTCTGCTGCTATTACCTCCTTCATTCAACTTGTTGCTAAACATTTTGCTATGAAAGATCTTGGAGATCTTCACTATTTTTTGGGAGTCCAGGCTGTATGTTCCTCTAAAGGTTTGTTTCTTTCTCAACATAAATATGTCTCTGTTCTTCTCTCTCGTTTCCATCTCTACACTGTTAAGTCTGTTCTCACTCCGCGTGCTACTCGTACTTCTCTATCCCTTACTGATGGGGAACTTCTTGCAGATGCCGCTGAGTATAGAAGTATGGTTGGTGCATTACAATATTTAACTTTGACACGACCTGATATTACCTATGTTGTGCATTTAGTGTCTCAGTTTATGCATGCCCCTCGTACTACTCATCTGTTTGCGGTCACGCGCTTTTTAGATACTTGCAGGGAACACTTGATCATGGATTATGACTTCAGCCGACCACTCAGACTACTTGTGTGATTGCTTATTTAGATGCAGATTTGGGCAGACTGCCCAGATACGTCCTGATCTACGACTGGCTTTGCAGTTTTCTTGGGCCTCAATCTTGTCTCGTGGAAGTCCAAGAAGCAAGCTACCATGTCTAAGTCCTCCACCGAAGCCGAGTATAGAGCTGTTGCTTATACTGTCCAGGATACATTGCATATTCGTTCAGTTCTTTTTTAGCTTGGATTTCCGGTGACTCTTCCAATTCAGCTACTCTGTGATAACATATTTGCATCCTATTTGACTGCCAATCCTGTCCAGCATGCTCGTTGTCACGCCCCGGACCTACCCGGACACGTCAACAACCCGCCGTACAGTACGAATAGTCAACCGCAGTCCGACTCATCCATACTATACAAGGCGTCTTGAATACCATTCACACATAGTACATCCATAAACAAACATAATGTGAAATAAACATTTATAGCAGCGGAAACATTTAACGTAAGTGTTTGTGCCACACCTCGGCAATCATGGGCGTACAAGCCCCCAAATAATTATTCAAAAAACAATATCCATGAGCATTATTTAAGTTGTTTTCAAAACAGAAACGGGAGAAGCACGAACCACGTCTTCTTCCTTGGATCTTCCCGAAGCAACGGGAGGTGGCAGCAACCTTCAAGTTCTACCTGAAACTTGGAGGTGGCCTCCCCCGTGAAGGGGAGGTCAGTACTTGGAAATATTTGACAAGTACAATAGCAACTATACTAAGTATAATTGATGTTTTAATTTCTAAGACCCTCAACTTAGGGTACTATTATGTTATAGGCCATAACCCTCGGTTACCCCTTTTTCTTTTAACTGTACTTACTTTATATAAAGTCAAGTAGCCGGCCCGTGGGCCCATATTCATTTAGAATTCATCGTTTCCATTCCCCCGCGACCGCAAGTCACGATAACCCCGTGGGGTCCCATCGAGCCCCAATTGTATAGCATGGGCTCGGCCCAACTACATTTCTATACAATCCTCTAACTCAATATACATATCAAAATTTGTATGGCAAGGGCTCGGCCCAACTACGTTTCCATACCAACCATAACTTCGTGGCAAGGGCTCGTCCCAACTACGTTTCCACTGAGGTCACATATACATGGCAAGGGCTCGGCCCAACTACGTTTCCATGCTAATCATATTACATGGCATGGGCTCGGCCCAACTACATCTCCATGTCATCCTAGAGTCCAACTCTAATTATTTTCATAATTAAACTCTCAAGCAATTCCTATGCCTAGAATCAATTTCCGTAGGTAGCCTTTAGGCCTACCCCTATCACACCTTAGTGTTCACACAATTCAACCTTAAAGTATCTCTTGAGACTACTTAAGGCATATCTATTCACAATCCTACCTCTTAGGATTTGTTTCATCATTTATTTATATTAATTCCCCGACTAGTATTTTGATACTAATTAGATAATCTTAGAACATGCCAAGTTCCTATTTTCCAATTGACTTTCCATTTCAATTGATTTCCCAACACAAGTATGGTTTGATCTCAATATCAACAATATCACTTTACTCCGTTCATGAATTTCATACATGGCGTAAAGTACATTTTATCACAATGTCATCATAGTAATTCCATTAATATGCCGTTCCATTTATTTCACATAATCATACACAATTATTCTAAATTTGTATATCATGCTTCACTTACTCATATCAATATCATTTTTCATTTAGGCATTATTAATCATTAATAATCCATGAAAATCCCATCTAATTACTTTAGGCAATCTTATGAAATTAACTCACTAATTATAAGCAATATAGTCAGCCATCCTCACCTCGTGATGTGCTACAATAGTTGCCTTTGATAAGCCCCTCGATAAATCCCCGTTCTAAGTCGTTTGAAATAGAAAAGCTGGATTTCTGGGCCAAAGCCGGGCGGCTTTCACGAAAGCCGGGCGGCTTTCGTAGTCTGCAACTACGAACAGCTCCCTATATGTGGCGGTTTCCGGCGATTTCGACTCCTATCGATTCACCAACTCTTCTAAGTTAATTAACACCACTTTATAACAATATTCTACACTTTTAAACGTGTAGAACTCATGGTTTAATCCACCATATGATTTCTCAAAAATCATACACAAGAAAACTAGTTACAAGATTGTTTGTTGAGTTCTTAACTCAAGAACAACCCCTCTTTCCTTGGATTTCCTTTGTTGTTGCTTCCTCCCCCCTATGGATTAGCTCAGAGAGTTTTCTGGAGCTCCCTCCTCTTAGTTGGTTCGAAATTATGCAAGAGGGAGGGTGGGGGAGTGTCCTACTCAATCACATCCTATCAAAGGTGGGATAGGAAACATGGGGTGTGTGATTGTCTCTTGGAGACTTCCTACCCACTATGTACGCCCCTCCCAGCTGCCTTCCGACTATTTGTGATACATAAAATCGTGGGGTGGCCCCCACTCATGTGGGAGGTCATCCCCTTATGCCCCGATGTGTATAATCGGCCCCGAAAGTTGTATTTTTCGGACTGTTTTAGTCATATTTTATTTTATCGGGCCGGATAAAATATATCACGCGTTCCCAATAATTATGGGCCTTTAGAATAGATATACATTCCCCAACATTAATTTAGGAGTCTCCGAAACTCATTTTGGGCTGTTATCCGCTAAATTACCAATACCGGTAATTGGGTCCCGTTTGACCAACCGGTCAACTCCATGCCTTTCTTATGGCCCAAATAAAATATCCATCACCATATAGATGTCATCTAGACCAAGATGAATATAATATGTGATCCGGGAATTATCGGGCGGTCCCCGTTCCCGCTGTGGGCCCCACATGCAATTTACTATTCACGTAAAAGAAATAATAAAATTTAACAATTACGTAAATTCATAAATCATCTTTCGAGGTTTATTACATAATTTACTAAAAGTAAATATGCTTGGGGACGGTGCTACACTCGTAGCAAGCACATCCAGATTGATTATCATTTTGTCTGAGAACGTGTGGCTCATGGAGACCTGGTCGTGAAATACATCCCTACCCAACTGCAGTTAGCTGATATGTTTACTAAAAGTCTTTCTAGTCAGTAATTTCATTTTTTGAAGGACAACCTGCGCGTTGTATCTCCCGCACAGTTTGAGGGGGTGTAATAGAATATTATTAGGCATATTTGTTTCCTTGTATGTCTCAAACTCTTTTATTATATATATTCAGTCCAGGATTCCTATTAGAGTATCCTTTCCCATGATTTCACAGTATTTACGTCTTTTAGTGCAAACAGTTCATATTTGTTCTTCAAATATGAATTGTCACGTTGATGTACATGCAATGTTTTACACTCCAAAAATATGTACTTTTACATATGTGAGTGAATACTTTTATTTTTATTTTCAGATATTGAACTGAACATATGTATATTTAAATTCAGCATAATTAATTTTTTATTGCAGTACAAATTTGAATATGCGAATTTTAATTATTCATGATGCCTTAATTCTTAGAATGTGTTATTAGCTTTGATGACACTAAAATTGGTTGAGATGCATGAATCATAAAAAAATTGATTTAAGTAATGTTTTCTTTTTGTTTGTTTGGCAGTCAAATATTTTTTATTAGAATAAATAAGGATTACAAACGCTAATAAAGGAAAAAAGTTTAGAGAGCATAAAAAATGCAAAGGAAAGTAAAATAAAAAAGAAAAAAGACAAGGACCCGCCTGCTCCAAGCAAGGAAAACCCAAACAAAATGCCCATCATATCTCTTGGTTTGGGTTTTGATGGATATGATGGGCATTTTGTTTGGGTTTTCCATGCTTGGAGCAGGCGGGTCCTTGTCTTTTTTCTTTTTTATTTTACTTTCCTTTGCTGAAGGAGGAGGGACTGAACCAAGAATACTCTCAGTTGACGGAAAACCTGCATAATGATAGTGAGTACCAGAAGTAGATAGATTTAGCATTAATGTTTAAAATGGACATGACAGATTTACTCGACGGAGCATTGTTTGGTATCGGATGATACACACCCCTTGCGGCTGATGGTGTTGGTGCGGTTGCTGCTCCTGGTGCAGGATAGGGGTGCTTCCTGTCACGCCCCGGATCGCATCCGAGCCACGTAGACAACCGCCGTACAACCCGATAAGAACAACAACAGTTCATCCCTATTGGATTGTACAAGGCGTCCGATTGATTCTATTGCCAAACCGATTAGTAAACACATACAATCAACATCAATATCATAATCAAACAAATGCGGAAATAATAAAATGTTTGATACTTGCCACACGTGGCAAACACGGGCACGCAGGCCCCCAACTGTTGTAATGAAAATATTGTTCAAAAATCCATGAGCGGTTTATACATTTGAAATAAGAATGGAAGCACGAACCACGTCTTCCTTCTCGATCAATCACCCTAGGCAAAGGTGCAGGCAGTAGGACTCTAGCCTCAACCTGAAAAATGTGAGGGCCCCCGGAGGGGTCAGTACTCCATAGAAGTACTAGTGACAAGCAGGCTATATGAAGAATAACTAATGTTTCAGACACGAGACCCAAAAATAGGGTGATACATATATATATGTGACTCATTCATCCGATGATACATACTATATATATATATATGTAAAATACTCGACCCGTAGGTCATTTCATTCAAAGAGTCTTTTAGAGATAAAGTTCTTACCTGAACTTTCTCACCCTTTTCCCGAATGCCTAGCTCGCTAGCAACATTCTACATTTATAATATCCTACCGAGTTTTGGGAGCACTTAGCATCCCGGGGATACTCAACCCCAACCGAGTTTCAGGATCATTAAATGTTCCGGGGATGCTCAACCCCAACCGAGTTTCAGGATCATTTGCAGTCCCGGGGATGCTCAACCCCAACCGAGTTTCAGGATCATGTATAGTCCCGGGGATGCTCAACCCCAACCGAGTTTCAGAATCATTTAATGTCCCGGGGATGCTCAACCCCAACCGAGTTTCAGGATCATTTATAGTCTCGGGGATGCTCAACCCCAAACTAAATCCTTACCAAACCCTAACCTGGATATGGCTAACCTTTCGTTCCTTCAACTATGGACAATACCTAGCCCTATAGTCATATAACCATCCTTAGGAACCAATGTGGGCGGGTCCCACCTGAACGGCCCACATAAACCCGCTCAAAACTGCCCGTTTGAGCATAAAACAATACTCGATCGAGTATCTACCCATACTCGGTCGAGTACAGGAGGCGGTAGCCCCCAAAGCTAATTTTCCATGTATACTCGATCGAGTATATACCTATACTCGATCGGGTATAGGAGACAGTAGCCCCCTGGGCAATTTTTCAGCAAATACCCGGTCGGGTATGTGTCAATACCCGGTTGGGTATGGCAGTTGACTTGGCAGTCAACGCCCCTTTTGACCCCCCAAACGGAGTCCGATTAACTTGAAATTTTATACACACATACTTCTTGATGTCCTTGATCCAAAAATACCATTTTGGATCCCTGGATCATCACACAAAATATGTTACCACATTTTTAATCACCAAACGTACATAACATGCTTTTTAACTATGTTTTATGCAAAATCATGGCATAAGCAAATACTTGATTATCTTTAATCATTCCACAAAACATATCCTTGATTACTTTAGGTAATCTCATGCCTCACGCAAAAGTTATAAAGCATAAAGCCGTCTTCTCACCTTAATGAAGCTTATGAAGTTCTAGCCTTCCCGATTTAGCTCCGGCGAAACTCCGGCGAACTTCAACGAACTCCGGCGACAACTCCGGCGACTCTTTCAACTCCGTGAAAGTTCCTTGAATACCTTAGACAAGTTACTAACAAGGTTTTATCATCATAAAACCCATAGTAATACAAATAACTCCCAAAAGGTTATTTTCCGGCGAACCGGTTACTTTGGCTCCTAAGTCCGTTCTTGGACTTAGAACTACCTTCCAACCCCTCTTTCTACACATAACAACGTGTAGAACAATACTAGGGTGTGAAATATGATTGAATAATCATATAAGAGTATTGAAGAACAAGAAATGGGATTAATGGAGTCCTTACCTTGCTAAACACAAGTTTTCCTCTCCAAAACCAACTTTTCCTTCTCTTTTCTCCTCCTTCTTCCTCCTTAGCTCCAATGCGTATATGGCAGATGAATATGGAGTATTTCCAGAGCTTAACTCTCTTCTTTGAATGGGTTGGCCGAGCATATGGGTTGTTGGGTGAGGGGATAGCCTTTTTGGCTTATTCACCAATAATATGGGGGGGAGGGACCCCTCTCCATTTATTGGTTTGGCCCCCAACCAGCTCTTGCCCCCTTTCCATCACATTGTGCGGCTCCCCTTGGCTTCCTTGCAGAGATAAAGACGTGGGTTGGCCCCCACTTATGTGGGAGGTCAACCCTTTGTGTACCCAAGTGTACAATCGGTCCCGAAAGTTGTATTTTCCGGACTGTTTTAAGTATATTTTATTTTATCGGGTCAAATAAAATATAACACTTGTTCCCAATCCTTATTGGACCTTAGAATCAATATGATTCCCCGACTTTAATTTAGAAATCTCCGGAATCCCTTTTTGGGCTGTTATCAGATAAATTGCCGATACCGATAATTTGGCCCCGTTTGACCAACCGGTCAACTCTATGTCATTGCCATGGCCCAATTAGGATATCCATCACCATATACATATTATCTAGTCCAAGATCAATATAATATGTGCTTCCGATAATATCGGGCGGCCCCACATCCGGTGTGGGCCCCACGTGAATTCTACTATTCACGTAATAGAAATGATAAAAAATTTAAAATCACGTAAAAATGATTTTATACATTTCTCAAGGTTCAATACATAATTTGGTGCAGTACAAATACTCGGGAGCGGTGTTACACTTCCTGACGGCCCCGACCCTGGAGCTCGCTGATAGGCATGCTGTTGCGGGTAACGGCCCCTGCCGCGGCCCCCTGCCACTGCCCCCTCTGCCGCGGCCTCCCCTGCCGCGATATGCGTGTGGTTGGCCAGGTGGGCCCTGCTGTCCGGGACCAGCTTGCTCCCCAAAAGCTTGCTGCAAATTAGAGGATTCATGATGGCGCTGATGAAGGACGCGTTGTTCCGCTTCAAGTAGTCTATTGTGAAGAATGTCAGGTGGAAATTCATCGAGTAACAGGGATATAGTACCCACAATGAACTCATACTCAGGGCCCAATCCTTACAAGGTACTTTGCAGTAATTCTTTATTAGTTACAGGGGAATTTATTGCAGCTAAGACATCAGCTAAATTCTTAATATCAAGCAAGTATTGTTCCATAGACTGAGTGTCGTTTTTAATGGAATTCAAGGTACGCTTAAGTTCCATGGCTCTAGGTAAACTAGCAGGCATAAAACATGTTTGCAAATGATTCCATATACCAGCTGAATGTTTAATATCATGCACATCAGTTAATACATTTTGAGTAAGAGTAGCAAACAACCAAGAGCGAATTGTTTGATCTACCCTAAGCCAATGATAATAGTCTGTATTAATGATTTGCTGATTATTAAAATTCATTGTGTATATGGGAGGTACCTGAATGGATCCATCAACGATGCCAAAAAGTTCCTGAGACACCAAAAGTGATTCGAACTGAGTGCGCCAGGTGAGACAATCTTCAACAGATTTGAGCTTTATGGTGACAAATTGGCTGACATTGGCGATGCGATGAGAAATAGACTCAGCTAATAAGGCCATAGGATACCCACCGAAAATATTTTCGTGGGATGGCCGTGTAATACCTGGGAGCCAGCAAAAGAAGGCCCAAAAAAATGAGGGGAAGGCGACTGGACTGGCTGAGAGAGTGTCGGAGAGTTCGTCATGGGTCAAGGAAGGTGCGACGGGATGCTGTTGAAGAGAGGATATGGTTGTGGCGGCGCCCAGACTGAGGAGGAGAATTCTGGCGTGGAGAGTGAGTATGGTGGCTGCGTCGTCGGAGAAGGGATGGCGCCGGAAAACTGCTGGGTCGACACCACTGCAGGGGAGGGTGCCGAAGAAGAGATAATCGATGCAGTGACGGACGACGACTGGGACTCGAAGGGTGGATCCGCCGAAGACGAAACCGCTGGGACAGAAGAAGCGGCGGCGGATGTGGAGGCCATCATCGACTGCTACGCGGAAGGGACGATCGAGCAAAGAGAGAGAGAAAAATAGGGTTTTCTCTATGCTCTTAATACCATGTAAAATAATGGGAAAAGGTACTCCAATAGGAGTCCTGGACTGAATATATATAATAAAAGAGTTTGAGACATACAAGGAAACAAATATGCCTAATAATATTATATTAAATACTCTGTCTCGGGGAAGACATTACTTGAGGAAAACCTGCTTCCTCAAGGCTTTCACATTACAGGAAGAAAATTTCAGTTGATTAAATGGAATAAGCCTAGAAGGGGTTGAAATTAAATACTGATGCATCGCTTGAGAATGGTCAAACGGTGGGAGGTGCGATTATAAGAGACGACGGTGGAAGACTGATAGTCGACCTTCAGTTCCCAATCCAGGCGGTGTCGCCTCTTGAAGCGGAGCTAAGAGCCGTACTGTTTGCAGTCCGATGGGCAATCCAAGCTGGTTATAGCAATCTTCAGGTTTAATCTGATTGTAGAACTGCCATTTTGATTATGCAAGGTGCGGAACCTAGGCGATGGAACGATGAAATTCAGGAAACTCTGGTTGGTCTGGATAACAGGGTTATCTCATTTAGGCATGTATACCGACAGGGCAATTGGGTAGCACATCATTTGGCGAAGAATTGGACGGACCACACTGAAATTATTAACAGCCCAAATCATCTTCCGCTATCAGTTAGACTGGCCTATTTCATGGACTTATATGGGCTTCCTTCTTTCAGATTTTTGTAGCCGTTGATTTTCTTTTTTTAAGTTGGGTTTTATCCCCCGATTTCTGTATGGCTTTATTTCTTTGTATGTTTCTTCAGAAGAGGTTTTGGCTTAGTCCCCCTCTTCTTTTATTTCCTGTTCTTTCGTAATAAAATATGGCAAACGGCCCCTGGCGTTTGCCCCATTAATTTTGGTGGTTGACCTCCCGAGGTAAATAAAAACTAGGAGGATTATAATAAACAATTCCATCTGGTTTAGATAGAGCAGCTCTTGCCAACTTATGCGCTACTCCATTCATTGACCTCCTGCAATGCATAACTTCGATCATAGCTTGTTATGAATAATATGCCTAGGGCATTGTCAATTTGGAGGATGATTGTCCTAATGGTATGGCTAGGGCATTGGGGGAGGATGAGAATACTGAGGGAGAAGTCATGCAAGTTACACATGTTCATGTCTGTTTCCCTCTCCAAAGCAATTAAGAGTGGCTCTCATTCTGACTTGGATGATTCTTCGGATGATGACTCTTCTAAACTTCGAGTGATGATTCAAATCAAGAGTTGCTTTCTCGTTTAAGTGATTCTAATTACCAGATTGCAACTCAAATTAGGTGAAGTGCTCGAATTCAAGCTAAATCGAAGGGAAGTTAATAAAGATTTTGTGAAATTGGCTATGAATGCTACAAAGTATTTTAGGGATTGTTTTGTTTGGATTTCTCTCGGTAGTTATCATTCAAGACGGGATATGATGGGCATTTTGTTTTGGTTTTCCTTGCTTGGAGCAAGCGGTTGTTGTTTTTTCTTTTTTATTTTACTTTCCTTAACATTTTTTATGCTCTCTAAACTTTCTTCCTTTATTAGCATTTGTAATCCTAATTTATTCTAATAAAAAATATTTCACTGCCAAAAAAACAAAAAGAAAAACATTACTCAAATCAATTTTTTTTATGATTTCATCCATCTCAACCAAATTTAGTGTCATCAAAGCTAATAACCCATTCTAATAATTAAGTCATCATGAATAATTAAAATTCGCATATTCAAATCGGTACTGCTATAAAAAATTAATTATGCTGAATTTAAATCTACATATGTTGAGTTCAATATCAGAAAAATAAAAATAAAAGTATTCACTCACATATGTAGAAGTACATATTTTTGGAGTGTAAAACATTGCATGTACATCAACGTGACAATTCATATTTGAAGAACAAATATGAACTGTTTGATAATTATAATAAACAATTCCATCTCGTTTAGATAGAGCAGCTCTTGCCAACTTATGCGTTACTCCTTTCGCCGACCACCTGCAATGCATAACTTCGATCATAACTTGTTATGAATAATGCGCTTATATCCTCAAAAGTAGTACGGAGTATCAAAGTAGGATTTTCCTTCTCGCTCGAACATCCCCGAGACCTCGATGCTACCACGAAAGAATCGGTCTCCAATTTAACATTTGCTCAATTATGTTCTTTCACCTAACTTAGTGCCTCCGCTTATAAATCTTCTGTCTTCATCTATACAAATGACTGTGTTTATTATTTTCAGTTTATACCAAAAAAAATTGAGTTTTTTTTCTATAGCAAATCCTCCCCTTTCTTTTTTTTTTGTTTTCAGTTTTTACCGACCATGAAATAATATTTTAGTTAGACTACAAATAATACTATCGTATAAAGTATCATACTTCGTATGTCCCACCTAATACTTAATGAACTGTTTGAGATCCAAGCTTGAGCTCAATTTCGAGTTTAATGAACCAAATCTGAATCCGAACCTAAATTATATGCATTCAAACCAAGTTCCACCATCATTGATTCGATGGTTTTTGAACTTATCAATCACCATTCATTATTGATCGAAGTTAATTATATACTCCCCCACCCGACCCACATCCCGATTAGATCGACCATTATATTATTGCAAGCAAAACAAATAGAACCGAACTTTTAGCGATACACTATTTTATTTATTGATTATAATTTCTTAAAGTTAACGTTTGATACTAGATTTATTATGATTTATAAGATACTGACATTTGACATTTATGATTCATATAAATGAAACGCTTATATATACTTTAGTCTCTTGCTATAATACTAACACGCAATATATTAGACTTCAAATTATCATTCACATTTTTGTTTGTTGATGCGTGACAATGATATTTTGTTGTTATATTGTTACTTTTGTTTGTTATCACACAACTTTTTATTCCAAAAGAGATATATATTCATCTAAACTATACATATTCATGAATTACTGGATCCAAACTATGTTATTAGGAGAGATTTAGAACTAAGAAGTGAAGAAGAAGATGCATAGTGAATATGTGTATGAATATCACTTTGGGTTACAAAGTCTCCCAAAATGTGTATATATATAGAGAGAAAGAGTGGGTCGGTCGGGATCACTAATACGTGCCTCATAAGCCCAACTACGTG